AATTGCAGTTATCGAATAGTGGTAGTATTATTTTAAAAATGTATAACGAATATAAAACAAGTTAATTGATCAGAGTCAAACACAAAATTGTAGATTTCAATTTTAATTCGTTCAACATTTTATGCCCATTACTAAGGTATACTTAACTGGCTTCTGATATTCAAAAATAGACCGGTTTGCCAATAAAAGATAAAACACATATAGCTTCTCCCATCTCTAATCGAAATAACGAACAAGATCAAGCCAAAATCAAAGAGGTTTGCTCATTTTAAGAGTTGTCACACAATGCCCTGCACAAAGGATTGGATGATTTATTAATAAATTTCTGACTTAAACTGTTGACTACTGAAAACAAAACAAAGGTATACCTTAAAATTTTGCTTACTTTACGGACGTCAATATTTTAATGTAGTTAGATTCCTAATATACAGGAACCTCCTGTATACTCTAGCGGCTCTACAGATCTCAATATTTTAATTTAGTTCATTTCCTAATAATTGTAGATAGTGGAACTCTAGTGGACTAAGATGGCCCTGTAATTCACATTTTAAGTGATGTTACTGGTTTGCTTCGGTGGACACAGACATTAAGCAAAGCTATTTCATTTGTCACACAGTGTTGTTTGTAGCGGTTATTGTTAAGGCAATCCTTAGCTGAAATGGCACACCCGATCATCTCTTTTCAATTGATTTGATCTCTAGCAAACAGTTTAATTGTCAATATTTTGTTACAGTTAATTTTCTTTCTCCGAAATCGAGCTATACACCACAAGCTATATATTGTTGCTAATAATTGTAGGTACAGGGGCTATTGTAAGTGGTGCTGTTGGATATATAAGTGTTATAATGGTCACGGTAATGGTTGGTGTGGTATTTTAGTTCTGCAAGAAAAGGTAAACGGCTCAGATTATCTCTCGTGTCATGCAACCACAAAACTGTGGTGGCTCTATCGTGATATGGGATTGCCTTCCACATGACTGTAAACATCCACTGGTAAAAGTCAGAGGCTATGTCTAAGACCAACAGTACCAAAGAAAGCATTTGGATAGGGTTGTAGTGCCCAACTTTAACAATCACCCTTTTTTCACAAGACTAAACCGTGCGCGTGCCGTTGTTCATTTTCTGTGTCAAAAGGGCATTGCTACGCTACACAATTGTCCAACCAGAAGCCCCAACCTGAATCCACTTGAGGATATCTTGACACTTCGTTAGCGAAACTCCCGTCAGTGGGATCCACCAGTGCCGAATCGTGACAATTGTGATCAGGCACTACACCAGGAATGGGAGAAATTAACGCAAATTCAGATTTGACGTGTCATGCTGCAATCAATGAATAGGAGAGTTGCCTTCTTTCGCAGCTTTGGCGGCTCTATGGACAATATGAAAATGAAATGAACTGAACTGTAAGATTTCATGTTGCCCTTTACCAGCCACATGTTTTTGTTCTTGGTTTCACCCATTTTCTGGCTCTATTTTTAAACTCGACAGAATCGCATTAATTCATCTACTTAAGCTTCAGTTTTGTCCTTCGTTCCTGATTCAGTGTTTGCTCTTGATAGTATAGGAAGATTGCATACGTTTCAGAATGTAAAAAGAGTTAACACATGTTGTCAAACATTAGTACTATATTCAAATAGGGTTTTGCGATACTTTTTATTCAGTGTATAATGTTATGCCTAAGAACATTTGTGTATTTCAGACGTCAGCTGAGTAAGCCAAAGGAAGATAATATTCCTGATTATGTTTATAGTAATACATCTTTAACATCTACGACACCACAACCTACAATTACAACATATGACAGTCTTTAAATCATCTAGTATTCTTGGTTTTGTATAATATTTATTAAACAATCATAACTTTTGATGCATTTTGCAAATTCTTTGGATGATTCGATTAGTCTGAGGGATAGCTAAGAGTATATATTATTATGTTATATTTTATGTAATTCCTTTTTAAAATGTATACAGTATAAACTATATAACCAGGTTTATTTTGAGATTGCTGGTTCTAAAGATCTACATCTGGAACATAACCTGAAAGTTCCAAGACGAACTAATTGTGAACATTTAAAAAATAATTTAGTATAGATTCACGTTATAATTATTAATTTACTTTTTTTTATATTAAAATGCAGTTATTTTTTTTTTTATATTAAAATACATTGACTTTTTTTATGTTAAAATATATTGACTTTTTTATGTTAAAATATATTGACTTTTTTATGTTAAAATATATTGACATTTTATATTAAAATGCATTTACTTTTTAACTAATTGATCAACTTAACACGCTTAATTCGTTTGTTTAGTGTATGTAGATTTATATCTAATATTAAAGACATGTATTTGGAATATTACAAGCCAATCGTGCGTCTTGTGTCAATTTGTATTTTACTATCACTTTTAACACCTTTTTTACGTCATGCATTCGTGTTGTTTTGGGGGGGGGGGGGTTGTTGAGGGGGGGGGGGGGCGCTATATGGCACATCTTAATAATAATAATAAAATAATTATAATATTTTAGTAATTAAAGAAAGATATAACTACATTATATCGTTATCGTGTTTATTGTTCATCAGCTTATTTTGTAATAATATATATTTTCAAAAGATGTAATCGGGCCAATTCTCTTTGATCTATGACCATGAAATGGGTTGACTGATATTTTAGATTTTAGTAATTAAAGAAAGATATAACTATACTATTCATATTCCTCTAGTCACGAGGGTTGGGGATTGGGATAAACAATTTAGTGGAATTGTCTACGGCATCTCTTACTCTAATTCCGGTGCTGCACACAAGAGATTGTCGAACTGACATATAAGTATTGTGGCTGGGAGGATTTGTTCATATTAATACCGGATTATAAAGCTAAGTCGATGTCATGATAATAAAAAAACAAAACCTCACAGTTGAATAACATCGCTCTTTAATAACAGTTGTATATCCTTAAAAAATAAATGACGGTATGCGCAGTTAGCATTTAAGACCCTTGAGTCCTCTAATCTTTCGTGAAGAAGTTCCCTGTGTATTTTCTAATATTCTGTTTTATCACATTAGTGCTAGGTTCTCACTGTCTTGCGATGCGTTACGATAAGTTCGTCCCTATTGAGTCCACGATCTGGTACGTGAAGATACGTTTGGATGATATGTTTCGATACGATCAATACGATTGTCACGACTGACTTCAATGTATGATAAGACCTGATAGGATCACTACGATTACTCCACGATTAAAACCACTATTTCAATCGTATCGCGAATCGTGATAGTGGGAACCTAGCATAACATAAATAAAGTTATTATCTTTCATTTGATTTTCACTGATTTGATTATTATTTTCTATCAAGAATGTTGGTGCGTAGTCAAATAATCCATTATCATAGGTTAGTGTGAACTGCAAGGAAAGACAACTCCTGTTGGGTAGAATGGTAAATTCTAATATGCTCTTCAAAAAAAGTAGGGGATATTCAGAAACAATACAAAACTGTGGAAATGCACTGCTGTTTTTATTAGAGGTATGTTAATAACAGGCCAATTGCCTACACATGAACATAAACAGTTCTTATGGACGGCTAATTATCTGACGGCCCAATTTCACTCGCAAAGAGATACACTGTCAAAAGTAAAAATGGACGTTTTTGATTTTTGTCTTAATAATGGGTAATTGCTCCACGAATCCTCAGACATTCAGCAATTCGTCTTGGCATGCCCCCAATCAGCCGTACAATCACAATTTGGGGCAATCTTGCAGTGCCACGGCCAATTCTTGCAGTGTTGTCGGTTGACGTTGAAGAACACGTCTCCCGATCAAATTAAACGTAACACACTAAAGCAAAGATACGCTAAACAGTAAATCTTATGCAAGAACCGATAGGAAAGAAAACATGGATAGGATAAACCAGCAAACGGCAGTTTTCATCAACCCTTCCTTGAACTGTCAAATTTGACAATGAACCCCTCCCACGTGTGTGGCGCTATTGCGTGTCGCATGTGCAGCTCAGTGGTTCTGTTGGGGCGATAAGTTCTTCATCTGTGAACATACTCTCAAAGCATGTCAAGTGCCCATGACTATTTATAATATCACAACCTGCATAGGTATTTGCATTTCAATATCCCCTACTTTCTTTTGAAGAGTATATGATCTAGAAAGGTTTGATGATATGCCTGATGAACGAAGCAGGGTTTTATAGCTGCGTTCAAACTTTAAAGACGTAATTTGAATTTTTCGGAAATTATCAACGGTAGATAATAATAATAACCTCGTTTGGCTTTAATTGGATTAAAATGAACTCCATCGAATATTTCAGTCGTCCATCATATCTTTGTAAATACGGATCTTTAAGAGATCCAAAAAGGAATTGAACACCCACCAAGTGACGATCATTTTGTGTGTTGATAAAACCGTGTACTAAGTACATTTTAATAGCTAATGGATCAGAATAATATATCAATTCTGGTGCGTAAAACACTGTACCATTGTCATCTTGTTGATTTAAATTAAGATTGTACAGGTTAGTGGGAAAACATAAACTACTGACACTTCATTTACATACATCAAGTGGTTCGTCTTCTCCTTCCATTTCCTGAATCAGATTAAGCCTTAGTAAAGGTTTGGCAATGTTCCAAAGAACGTCTGTGCCATCCAACTGCGTCCGCAAACGACCGAAACGTAAGGCTTCAAATGCACTTCCACGAGAGAAGATGAGCAGGGAAGAATGAGAAAAATGGGGTTTAATGTCAACTCGACACAAACTAGGTCATTCCGGGACTAACATATCGTTCAATTTTATTTCACTAATTCGCTTGCGCGTAGGACCCGGAGAAAACCCACGAGGTTGGACAGGTGACCTACTCCTTGTCACTCAACCTTGCAGGGAAGAATGGATGCGAGGCCGCTTAGACTTAATAGGGTACCCTTACGTACTGTGCTGTCAAATGGACGCAAGTAAACAAACCCAAAGGATACATAAAAATACATGCTGCACTTTAGGCCACCTTTATTCTTTCAATAACAATGAATTACACTTAATTTTGGATATTTCTCAGTGCTACGTCCACTTTATTAACCACGTCGACAGCTTCATTTACAGTTTCTGCAGCTTCGCTCCTGATATCTACCAATTCGTTCTCTATCATTGACATATTTCCTGATTGGGCTGAAAACAAACATAGACTTAATGGTTACTAACTCGTGAGGGAATAGTCGATATTTAACTTGACAACCCCATTTTGTATTACCTGAGAATTAACAAAGGGTATTAAAAATCCCTAAAACGACAGCATGATACGGGATAACAGAACACGCTACAAGTATAACGGAATAACATGTATGTTCATTTGCTGTGTGTCCATATTAAACCCTTGGTCCTTTCAAATCATGGTGTAAAATATGCCCATATTTTCAATAATGTCTTCATAATAGAAAATCTAAAGCAAATGCTGTCCTAGTCATTATTAACACATACTAACAAAGTACATTCTGTATATAACGCTTGTTTGACGCCTATGTGGAATTCTTGTCGATAAACTGAACAAATCAGAATGTCATATTGAAATATTTCTCCAGCAGGCATACAATGAAGTTTAATATATAACAATATCAGATACTTAAATGTGTCTGTACCATATCAGATAGTTATTGTTAAATAGGACCCGGCTAGTTTTTTTATTGTAATATAATTGGGGATTATTGACTTATATGAAAATGATAACTTTGAATTTTAAAATGCAATTAATTAGTTTTCAAATTATGATCAAAAACAGGATATAGTCATGGCCGATTGTCGATATTAGTATGACAATCCATATTTGGCTAATTCTGTGCGTCATTTGGCATAATCGACCAATCAGTTAATTAATGACGTGGTGCCAGGAAAAAAACGACCAGAACTAGCCCCGACAGAGCTAGACCTATATAGCAGTTCTTCGGGGGACATGGTATGCCGTTTGCTGCTCTTGCTAGCGCGTGTTGAGTGAATTGAGAGACATTTATTTTTGAGTTCATACATTTATGTTGTAAATTTTGTATCCAGATTAATATAAAACATATTTTAGAAGAACATTGTATTCCTGAGTCTTGTATTTGACGTCATGGTGAAGTCTGTGCCAAAGTCAAATATTCAAGTCCATAAGTCTAGAACTAGAGAGCTGCAACAGTCATACCTAGACGATTAGTGGCCAAACCTAAGGATGTGTAACAGTTATAGCGGTATACGTTGGATTTGGTACGCTTGTGGTTTAGCCTCCATATTCGACCGGCTATGGTACATTATGTTTACCGCTTTTATTTGTTTGAAAAAGTACTACAGTAATGTTTGTTTTGGTCTGCCGTTATATGTTATAACACATCGATAACAAATATGTCACATTAAGTAGTCAATGTCTCTAGTTCATTAACATTTTTAACATACTCACATTGTGATGTTGACGTGGTAGCAGGACTTGAATAACTATTGTAGTAGTTGGGGCTTGAATAGCTATAGTAATCAGTGTAGTATGGTGTGTAACTACTATAGTTTGGAGAGGTGTTGTGGTTATTTCCAACTGTACCTGAATAAAACAGAAAACGATATAGATGATTTAATGGACCCTAGTTACTTTAGTAACGAAAACTGATGGGGACTCTACCCTCTACCCGTTACTGTCCCACCCTATACACATCTAATATGAAAATAAGGCTTTTCCCCCACCTTGGTTCTAAGGCTATTTTGGAATCCTTACCGTCTAATTTTCACCGTGATTCTTCTTTGTTCGCCAAAAGGAATCATTTCTTGCCACATCCGACACAAATTTATAATAATATAACACTTGTTTTATGTCAAATTTAACGATCCAAAACACGGGTTTGTGGGCTGTGTTAGCCAATATTCCAAATGTTATTGTGAACGAAATTTCTTGCTGTTTTTGTTTCGCACAATTCTACATGAAAACAGTTTCATAATGGCGTATCAATTCAAACGAATCTTGTTTGTGTTTTAAGATCGCTAAATTCTACATGAAAATAGTGCTGGGTTATTATAAATATGCGTCGAATGTGGCAAGAAATGATTCCTTTTGGCGAACAAAGAAGAATCACTGTGAAAATTCGACGGTAAGGATCCCAAAATAGCCTTAGAACCGAGGTCGGGGAAAAGCCTTTTTTTCATACCAGACGTGTATAGAGCGAGACAGTAACGGGTAGAGGGCAGAGTCCGGGTCAGAATCCGATGCTAAAGTAACTAACTGGACCCCGGAGAAGACATTAGTATGTAAGATCTTCACTAGGCACCCACCTTCCCACCGGGGTAGATTGCAGAATCTATATTTGTATGTATTTTCAGACTTTCTTGACGAATATAAAATATTAAATGTTTGTGAAATGAAATGCAGTTTAACGTCCTAATGTTCTACTCGGAGCTAATGAAGACGGGCAAACGCCATACAGTGAGCTATGAGGGAAATTTTGCCCGTATAGCGGGGCTTCGGCCTATAACTCTTATAATGAAAGGACCTTTTATGTGCACGCTAATTTGTACACGGTACCTCGGTTTTACGTCCCATCCGAAAGACAAGACGGCTGTCCTTGGCAGGCCCTCCGTCCTGCATCGCTGACAAAGGGGGATCCACGCCGAGAAATAACGGTGTCAATAGTTTTATTATGGTGTCTCTTGTGTGGCGAACCTAAAGCCTATAGTATATACTATACCTTGACCTGTAGAATTACCACCAGTAAAACATGATATTGTAGTAATAGAGGTAGCACAATATGCACTAGAATCGTCAGTAACACAGTCCATTAAACTAGCTTCATTACCAGTACATATATATCGTTTATTGGTACTTGAACAATATACATTGAAACTGTTTCCAGGAAGAATTCGTCCACCAGCTGGAAAACCCAACTCTCTACAAACAACACTGACAGCATTTTGATCAAAATTATCTCCACAAACTGTTTTATACTCAGTGTCTTCGTAAACCAGGAGAGCACCAGATGAATTGCTGTATTTAGAACTAAGGCGAACTGAAACAATCCAACATACAATCATTGATTTACATATTATCAGATCTGTCTTGCGCCTGTTTAAACGAGACTATAACGTAGACGCCTGCACAGTAAATAGGTCACACAATGAAACGTTGGACGCGGGTCGTCTCAAATAGTTACTTTATCTTTATTTCTTCAAAGTGCTGCTTTTTATTTGAATATTTAATCTGGTTATAATTTTATTATAAGCAATAACTACAGGATTAAAGAAAGCTGGCACTCCGTGTACATGCTCCATCAGAAAGATAAAGACAGTCTTGATTTAAACGAAGACTATTTTATCGAAAGGAGTAATTTTGTGATGTCTGGAGCAAAAATTAAAACATTAACAATAGTGTATTGGCCACAAGTCAGGTTTCAAGATCAAGGGGGTCTAGATAAATAATAACACACACATCATGTAAGGAGAAGCCCTAGAATATATCCTTATGCAATCTGATCCAAGACGCGAATTAATAGTGTGTGTAGCCGATGTGGGCATCGAAAGATGTCGTCGGCCGGCTTAAGACATCAGGGGAGTTGGATGGCCGAATGGTTAGTGTGTGCGCGCTGAATCATAAGGTCTGTCATTGAGTCAACTGGCATGGTTTCGATTCCCCGGTTGTACCGTACGTGACAAGGAGTAGGGTCGCCTGTCCAACCTCGTTGGTTTTCTCGGGGTCCTCAGGTTTCCTCCCACTGCGCAAGCGAATTATTGAAATAAAATAGAACCATATGTTAGTCTCTCTTAAGACGTCATTGAGAATCTTTTGCCATTCTTGCAATAAAGCTTGCTCAAGCTGATGTCGGTTTGCGAGAGGACGTGTCCGTTGCCCATCAAGTTGATCCCAGAGGTGCTCTATTGGGTTCATACCAGAAGAACTTGCTGGCAAAGGTAATGTGTGGACGTTAGCATTGTTCAAGTCATCATAATGGGGTATGTGGTCGGGCATTATCGTGCTGCAAAATAGCAACCCTGTGTTGCTGTTGCATGAACTGCACTGCCATGTTGCAGAACTTCATCTCTATATCTTTGACCAATCATGTTTCCACGGATGATAACAAGCCTTGTTTTCTGCTGGTCACAAATTCCTTCCCATATCATAATGCCACCTCCACCATAAGGAGTGCAGTTGAACACGAACACGGCCATCATTCCATCCCAGAAGTGCACGCGCTGCAAATCACGCCGCTGAAATCGACGTACAGTTTTTTCCCATTGTAGCCTGCGTTGACAGTGTTAAGGTCGAGAGACAGTGTGTCTGCTGGTGCGGTGACCCAATGTTATGGCGGTTGGACTGCAGTCGAAAGTTCTTGCAATTTGCCGCTGAGAAGCACCATCTGCCATACCAAAAAACCTCTCTCGTCTTCCAGTGTCAATCTTGGCATCACTGATTTGTTTTTATACTGAATCATCGCTCTGTCTACCCCTCCCCCACCGGTATTTATGCAACAATCATGCAAGTGCATCTCTAGAAAATATCCGGTAGTTGACGTAAAATATTATTCGTGGCCTGTAGAGAGTCCAAACGAAATCGTTAAAAGGACGACCAATTCAAATGGTAACCATGTAACCCTTGATGTATCTTTATCAATCTGCTATGGATAATAAGAGCTATTTAAACTTCGTGTGGGCTGTTTGAAAAGTTGCTTATAACATAGAAATTGTGTAATTATAAGAATTTAAATTTCAGCTCTATACTATTTTTCATGAGAGATTTATATGTCGTCGCACTCTAACCTATAGAGTTGTGGATAGACGAATGTGCCGGGCATATATGTGCATCCTAATAACACATCTGGGTATAAAATAACAAATTCGAACAGGTTTTACCTGAACCATAACAGTAAATGCCGTGATTGTCATAGCAGCGAGAAGATCCAGTAGTCCAGTTACCATGTTGACATAAATCTAGAACTGGTTCATTACCATTACATCTAAAATTATTATACCAATATCTTCCTGTCATATTATCAAAACGTGGACTATCAAAAATATCGCCTGATTTATATCCCATCTGTTTACAAATAAGTTTGGCTTTTGTATCGTAGATACCATTACTATCACAAAAATAATTCCAGGTATTTTGGTATTTCACCTGTATAAGACCATTGTTCGATTTATCACCATCAACCAATCGGAACTGATTTACTGAAACATTAAAATTGACCGGTTGACATATAGTTATTGTTTAAATAAATCTTATAGACAAACAAATAAAGACTAAGAAATATAGTAGCATTCAAACAAACCAACGTGCACCCAACATAACCTAGTTCATTTAAAGACAAATATTTTACTTCAAAAACCGGCTCATGCGGAGATTAGTCTGTTAGCCCGATATGGAAACCTGGGAAACCTTCAGACAAAGCATGGTCTTAAGCAGTTGACCCCTGGCCTTGTAAAGACAGGCGTGGAATCTTGACACTCATCAACCAGATCATTCGCATCTCAGACGACCAATAAGCCATTCGAAAATCATACAATCGTACATGGTGTTGTGGATGTTACTGTTAGAGGTGTACGGATATAGTAGTAAAAATTGCAGATTTGTTTCAGAAGTCAGCCACAACCTAACCTCTGAGAAGCTGCTTGTGCTCTTCAGTGGCCACACTACTGTGCTGCTAAACTTGGTGGTCTACGAGTTCCCGCATGGAGAATAAATCTGTGTTCTTAACGATAGTAATTGCCTTGACCCATGATCAGGCTAACTAGTGTGATTGAACATGGGGCAATTAGTGTGACTGAAGATCACTGGTACAGTAGTTGGTCTGGATGGTGTGTTAATTGGTGGATTTAGGTAAGACTTCTCAGGAAGAGAACAAGGACCTGCTTTCACTAATAACATCGATTAGCACGATGGAGCTGAAATGATGGGCACTTTAAATGAAAGCTCATTTGAGGTGCATATGAGATCAGTCACCAGTACGCCAACAAGAAAAACCAGGTCCTGCTGATGGAACAAGACAAATGATCTACGGCAGATCGTCTGGACTAGCCTTTCACCCATCGCCGATAGTTGTGAGCGGTTTACCTATGGTGGATTTAAATCAGAATATGAGCCATACAAATGCCATCGATTTGGTCTGACGTGTATGAATTGTGTGAATCATATTATTTGTGCAGAATCATAATAAATGTTATCGCAATTACCCGGTGTTTTTGTAAATATGATTACATTCTTTGTTTGAGAGGCATAAGGAGGCACTCGAGTTAACAATTCGATTTTGCCATAGTTTTAAACATGGAAATACATATGGAAAATCCTCTCAATTGGTCCAGTCGGTACAATTCTATAATACAAACTCAAAATGACGATATCTTGGCAAATGAGGGCATTCGGAAAATTCAGGATATTTTCTAAATAAATTTCCAAAATTTGAAAGATTGATATAGTTGTCTCACTAGTAATGAAAAAACTTACAATCGTCATCATTATAACAGTATACTCCAGCAAATGCATGAGAAGGGCAGTACGAATTGCTGTTAAATTCTGTGTTTCGACAAGATCTCAGACTGGTTTCAGTACCATTACATTCTACGGTAGACAGCCACATAGGTTTTGAACTTTCTCCATAGTATGGGCTAGCGTAGCCATGTTGATATCCAGCCTCTCTACAAGCAACTTCCGTTTCTTCACCACCCCACTGTTCTGGGCAGATTGTACCCAACAAACCATTTTTATAGACTAGAACTTGACGAATATCATTGATCATTGTATCTCCATCCTGACCTGAAACAAGATATCGAAGTAAAATTTAGCGCAAGTTTAACGTCTTCCTGCAAGACCTGAGCGTATTACAAAGACAAATTTTTAACATTCTTAATGACAAAGATGATGTTACACCCTGACCAGAGCAAAAACTGCAAAAACACTGCCAGCTACATGTATTACGCAATATATTTAGATAATATGTGCAATATTATTACAAACTACCTTTATTAAAGACACTAAGAGAGATAAAACTATAGTGGTCGGCATATGTTTTTCTGCATGGCAATATGTTTTTAGATGAGAAAAAGCGATTGGTCTCAGCAGTTTAAATGTTCCGCTACGAGCAATTTCTTGAATTATCTACATGCAGCAAATTTATATATTTGATTATCTCCAACAATCACAGCTCGACCACGCATTTCGTCCACTGTCTGTCATGTATATAAGTAATAATGTGTGTCAGTAGGTAATTGTGAGGAATATTATGAATTACTATACCTTGATCTGTATAATTACCACCAGTAAAACATGATATAGTAGTAATAGAGGTAGCACAATATGGACTAGAATCGTCAGTACTACAGTCCATTAAACTAGCTTCATAACCGGTACATATATATCGTGTATTGGTACTTGAACGATGAATATTGAAATTGTTTGCAGGAAGAATTCGTCCACCAGTTGGAAAACCTAACTCTCTACAAACAACATTAACAGCATTTTGATCAAAATCATCGCCACAAACTGTTTTATACTCAGTGTCTTCGTAAACCAGGAGAGCACCAGATGAATTGCTGTATTTAGAACTAAGACGAACTGAAACAATCCAACGTACAATCATTGATAAAATGGCGACGCTGTCGTCTTAGAATAAGCAATATGTTTCTTAAAATGGTTCTGCTATTGCATGTTACTGTATTATCCTTTCTTTGATTATAAATACATTGATGATATAAGGGAGCCCTAGTAAATTATACTCCGAATGTCTAATCTGGGGTGTTAGGTGGCCGAATGGTTAACGCGTATGCACCGAATCTCAATTTCAATATATTTTGATCTATTAGAAAGAAAGCCACTTCAGAGAGTTATTCAAGACATATACCCTAGGTTATTCAAAAATCAGTTTACAAACCAGTCGTTTCGCGTTTATTTTTATATGGGTAGCTAACCACATTCATGTCCATTTACTGAATGATTTATGTAAATAATGTACATATTTCTAATTCATTTATATTTAATTATATTATCCAAACATGTAGTATGTTTCGCTGATTTCAAATATGTATAGCATCTATATGTCTGAATGCTAACGAGTTAAAGGGCCATATTGTCTGGCATTTTGAATTTTACTTTTATATAATCACCCGACAACGTAATGAGCGATGTCAGTGTATTCCTTGACATACTGTTATACACCAAAATTATCATCCTACAATACATACTATGGGAGCTATAGGGGATTATTTGAAATGGCGGCCGTCTTGGACGCCATCTTGAATTACTCTAAACGCTCAAGGGTGACGAGGTTCGCTCGTCAGATTTTAGTCAGTCTATATTCTTGAAATTGTGCGGTTTGGAAGAGAATGTTATATAGATTATAGGTGATTACTAGAAAACAATTAAAATACTGGTTATAGACGCTATGCGTATAGTCATGAGCTTGCTCTTTAAGATAATTAAAGTATTGGAGGTGATATCCTTTCAAATGGGCGAAAAATGTAAATATATTAACATGTTAAAAATCTTGAATTTTCCATGTTTTTAATATTGAGTCATAAATTAATGGTACCCCCATCCCCCACGTGGTCTGATATTGATGTATAATTGTTAAGTACGAACAACATGTTCTTAAAAAGTCTTGTTTCATGATGATCAGGCAAATAGAAGTATTATAATCAATCTATTCAAATCGGCAAAAATGAACAAATTCATAATTTACTGTTAAAATTTAATGAAAATATAAAATGAAAGAGTAAAATATCAAAGTTTTTCGCAATTTTATATAATTTTTCGTGGTAGGCTCCTATACATGGTTAGCGTTTGAAAAGAGTGATTTTAGTTATTTTCCTGTTTGAGTCGATTTTCAAAGCTAATTTTACGAGATATACGACTTTTAATATTGATACATTATGCATGTGATATGTAAGAACTTCTAATATATTGTAGTCAAATTTCTACACTATATCTTTTTTTTTTTTTGCCACAAGTATCAATATTTGGCACTTAAGGTACTCCACACACAGTTGGCGGTACTTGTTCTGAAATATTTGATGGTAATTTCTTAATCTGTATAACATTCTCTTACAAATCCCACAATTTCAAGAATATAGACTGACTAGAGGGAATAAAATCAGATCATAAAAATAAAATAGTAGTTTTAAAACGTGCGAAAGGGTACACCGATTCAAATGGTCATATCACAGTCAATATTAAAGTTAGCGTCATATTACTTTGTAGTTTTACATAAGTTTGCATGTACTATAAGATTATGTTTTTTATATTTTTCTGAGGGGTCACTTTACATCTTTCTAAGAATTCCTCCACTTGACATGGAATGACCTAATACATATATCTACAAGAAAAACCCGTAGGCGTTTGATCATAAGTTCTGACATTGAGTCAAATGGCGTGGTTTCGACGTTAACCTTATTTCATTTCATTTTCCCCCATAGATTCAAACCTTCAGAGAATGTGGACAACATTAAAAATAGCCGTGTAAAATATAAAATAAATTTACCTGAACCATAACAGTAAATGCCATGATTGTCATAGCAGCGAGAAGATCCAGTAGTCCAGTTACCATGTTGACATAAATCTAGAACTGGTTCATTACCATTACATCTAAAATTATTATACCAATATCTTCCAGTCATACTATAAAAACGTGGACTATCAAAAATATCGCCTGATTTATATCCCATCTGTTTACAAATAAGTTTGGCTTTTGTATCGTAGATACCATTACTATCACAAAAATAATTCCAGGTATTTTGGTATTTCACCTGTATAAGACCATTGTTCGATTTATCACCATCAACCAATCGGAATTGATTCACTGAAACATTAAAATGGACGGGTTGACATATCGGTATTATCTAAATATTTCCGCTGAACTATGTGATAATGATATTTTATGTTTCACAAAAGCATGGCTTATGAATCTGTTAATTGGTGGGTTCCGTTCGCCTTGTTAATTAAATATAAATAATAGTGTGTGGTTGTGTGTGTGGGTGTGTGTGGGTGTGTGTGTGTGTGTGTGTGGGTGGGGGGTGGTGGTATCGCTTTATTCGTAACAATATTTACTTGAAACGTAGATATTAAGGTTTTGTTTGGAAATTATTTTTAAAGATTTTTGTGGGAACTTTTTTACCACACCCCACCCCCACAAGCAGCCATTCTGATTATTGGAGTTTAATCCAACATAGTTACTAGCAAGCCAGATACAATATTAGAAACAATGTTATCATTCTTGGTGATTTTAATGTATTGGTTTTCTTACAAAAATTAATAGTAAACTACATGATTTTATTAACCGATTTAACTTAACTCTGCTTGTGAACGACCCTAGAAAAATAAGCACTGACAAGATTTCGCTTCTTGTTGACCTTGCGACAGTTTCATGTCTGCATGAGCGGTACCTTTACGCCACATTGAGACAAACTGGTAGGGTAGGTAGAAGTTTCATACGCAGACGTTGTAGCCGTGCAAATTTCAGACTCGGGGCAGACCTAGTGTAGCCGCCAACCCCGAACAGACAGACTTCGCTCGGGGGTCATAACTCCGAAACCGGAAGTGGTAGACTAACGCCACCTGGCCTATGTTACTCCCCGGTCCGAGCTACCCCTATACCCCAAATTTCAGACTCGGGTCAGACCTAGTGTAGCCGCCAACCCCACCTGGCCTATGCTACTCCTCGGTTCGAGCTACCCCTATAACCCAAAATTCAGACTCGGGGCAGACCTAGTGTAGCCGCCAACCCCGAACAGACCGGCTTCGCTCGGGAGTCATAACTCCGAAACCGGAAGTCGTAGACTAACGCCACCTGGCCTATGTTACTCCCCGGTCCGAGCTAACCCTATACCCCAAATTTCAGACTCGGGGAAGACCTAGTGTAGCCGCCAACCCCGAACAGACAGACAGACAGACAGACAGACAAACGACAGTCACAAATATATATATAGATTTAAACTAACTTACTTATTCATTTTTACCATTACTAATTTACTGTAATAATGCGTTGTCTATAGCATAACATTACTTAAAGGAAGGGGTGGGGTCTAGTGGTATAACGCGCGAGCGTGAAACCGTATGGTATTTCATTGATTCAAGTGCCGTGGTTTCAATTCCCCACTTGTTCGTGACAAGGAGTAGGATCGCATGTCCAACCTTGTGGGTATTCTCTGGCTTCTCCGGTTTCCTCCCACTGTTTAAGTTTACGCGCAAGCGAATTATAAAAATAAAAAATTGAACCATAATATGTTCAAAATTGACCAAGTTGTGTCGAGTGGACGTTACCCCCCCCCCTTCCCTCTCTCTCTCCCCCCTCTCTCCCTCAAAGGTAGGGGTGGGGGTCTAGTGGTATAATCGGCAAGTGACGTGGTTTGTACGTGACAATGAGTAGGATCGTATGTCCAACCTTGTGGGCTTTGTCCGGTTTCTCCGGTGTCCCCCTACACCTAAAGTTTACGTGCAAGCGAATTATAGAATTAAAAAAGTGAACCATATGTTAGTCCAAAATTGACCTAGTTTTGTCGAGTGAACGGTACCCCCCCCCCCCCTCTCTCTCTCTCTCTCTCTCTCTCTCTTGTCGTGACGATACTGTTTAAAGCAACAAAAAACGTGTAGGATAAACACTGCAGACGAACAAATAAAAGCTAATATAAGAAGTATAATAGCAACAATGTAAAGATACGCTGATTTTAACGTCCTCTCTACATAATTTACCTTTGTAAAATCCCACCAATACATATTCACGAACAACCGGTACCTGGTGCTTTACGTAACGAACAGGATTCCTATTAGAGATTCGTCTCTCATAATATTTTAATTTGCCATGGGTTCGTGTTGAGCTAAATGGACGCATTGAAACGTTGTTATTGGACCTAATTGTCTTACATACAAAACCAAAAAAAACTTTTATTAAAAAAAGAATAAAATAATCTAGTCGACATAACCATTACAAAGAAATATGAGCGTCCTTGTTATATCCTTCTGTAATCGCAGTCCCTGCACTAAGGTGATGATCGAATGTTACAAGGAAGATCGAGTTTTTACGGTTGTAATATTATTATAAACATGGCTACCTTTAATTATATTTTTCGTATTTATCAACTTTAAAATCAAGCTTGTACACCATAATCCATTTCGGACTTCATACCGAAGTTTTGTTTAAAAAGGTAATGAAAAAACTTACAATCGTCATCATTATAACAGTATACTCCAGCAAATGCATGAGAAGGGCAGTACGAATTGCTGTTAAATTCTGTGTTTCGACAAGATCTCAGACTGGTTTCAGTACCATTACATTCTACGGTAGACAGCCACATAGGTTTTGAACTTTCTCCATAATATGGGCTAGCGTAGCCATGTTGATATCCAGCCTCTCTACAAGCAACTTCCGTTTCTTCCTTACCCCACTGTTCTGGACAGATTGTGCCCCACAAACCATTTTTATAGACTAAAACTTGACGATCAGCATTGATCATTGTATCTCCATCTTGATCTAAAACAAGATATCGTAGTATCATTTAGTGTAAGTTTAACGTCTTTCGTCACGTTCTGGGGCCTAAGCAAAGTCTAACAAAATATCATTATTCTTTGAAATACAAAATGTTCGCGCAAAAATATATATATATATATCTTGCTGGGTATAGTGATTAATTGCTTAAGTCAAGAAAAACTGCTGGAGTGACGATTGGACACGCCATCTTGTGTTGATTCCATGTTTCTGTCTGTAATGTAAATATGAATTCATTATTTTAATTTCTAAACACACCAGAGTACGCTTTTAGCAAATTTTAATGAGATACAATGTGATCTTCATTAATGTTAATAATTGAACATTAACATTGAGTTTTAAGTGGCAAAATGCACAGCTAAACTTTGTCAACGACATCGTGCGTCATTTTGAACTTTGAAGAATGCTGTAAATTACTATACCTTGACCTGTAGAATTGCCACCAGTGAAACATGATATAGTAGTAATAGAGGTAGCACAATATGGACTAGAATCGTCAGTACTACAGTCCATTAAACTAGCTTCATAACCGGTACATATATATCGTGTATTGGTACTTGAACGATGAATATTGAAATTGTTTGCAGGAAGAATTCGTCCACCAGTTGGAAAACCTAACTCTCTACAAACAACATTAACAGCATTTTGATCAAAATCTTCGCCACAGACTGTTTTATATTCAGTGTCTTCGTAAACCAGGAGGGCACCAGATGAATTGCTGTATTTAGAACTAAGACGAACTGAAACAATCCAAAATACAATCATTGATAAAATGGCGACGCTGTCGTCTTAGGATAATAATAATAATACTCTAATTATATAGCGCGATAATACTAAAACGAAAGTTTCTATTGCGCTTTTCAAGTTTTCTATATTGAACTACGGAAACTACGGATAAGCAATGTAGTTCTTAAAATAGTTCTGCTATTGCATGGTATTGTATTATCCTTTCTTTGATTATAAATACATTGATGTTATAATAGAGTCCCAGTAAACAATACGCCGTATGTCTAAACATTTGGGGAGGGGTGGGCGAATGGTTAACGCGTATGCTTTGGGTCAGAAGGTGTGTAGGGTCGCCTGTCCAACCCCGTGGGTCTTCCGGATTCCTCCCACTGCTAAAGATGCCTACGGGCAAGCGAATTATTGAAATAACATTGAACCATATGTTAGTCCCTAAATGACCCAGTTTGTGTGTCAAGTGGACCTTCAGAGATTGTGGACAACAAAGTGGCCGGATAAAATATAAAATAAATTGAAACAAATTATGTTGTCGTTTTTACCTGAGCCATAACAGTAAATGCCGTGATTGTCATAGCAGCGAGAAGATCCAGTAGTCCAGTTACCATGTTGACATAAATCTAGAACTGGTTCATTACCATTACATCTAAAATTATTATACCAATATCTTCCTGTCATATTATCAAAACGTGGACTATCAAAAATATCGCCTGATTTATATCCCATCTGTTTACAAATAAGTTTGGCTTTTGTATCGTAGATACCATTACTATCACAAAAATAATTCCAGGTATTTTGGTATTTCACTTGTATAAGACCATTGTTCGATTTATCACCATCAACCAATCGGAACTGATTCACTGAAACATTAAAATGGACCGATTGACATATCGGTATTATCTAAATATTTCTGCCAAACTATGTGATAATGGTATTTTATTTTTGTCAGAAGTCTGCCTCGATTCCTTGTGTATCGCTATATTCGTAACAATGTTTACTTTAAACGTAAATATGATATTGAACTTCCATGACTTGAAGCTTTGTGGTTAGAAACTACTTCTTAAAAAAAAAAAGATTTTTAGTAGTACGGAAGATCAAATACGAACTATTTTTGTTGGTTTTTTTTTATTTCCAATTAATATTTTTAATTTTCGATTTTGAAAAATAATTTCTAATCTCTATTTTTAATGTTCGATTTTGTAGAACAATTTTTAATTTAGTTAGAAAATTTAGTTACAAAATTAGAAATTATTTTACAAAATTAGAAATTATTTTATAAAATCAGAAATTATTTTACAAAATCAGAAATTATTTTACAAAATTAGAAATTATTTTACAAAATTAGAAAGTATTTTACAAAATTAGAAAGTATTTTATAAAATTAGAAATTATTTTATAAAATTAGAAATTATTTTATAAAATTAGAAATTATTTTATAAAATTAGAAATTATTTTATAAAATCAGAAATTAATTTATAAAATCAGAAATTATTTTACAAAATTAAAAATTATTTTATAAAATCAGAAATTATTTTACAAAATTAAAAATTATTTTACAAAATTAAAAATTATTTTACAAAATTAAAAATAAACCTTTGATTTTTAAAGGGTGATTCTAGCCATAAAATCAATGGATGCAACCGTTTACTGAGTCAACCAGGTATCATTATCCTTATCTG